ATGGACTGATGGGTGACTTACACGACACACTCGTAGTTATCCCTTCGGGAGGCGATGTGGAGAGGAGTGTCGCCGTGAATATTGGTTTGGTTGATGACATTGGCGCCCATCTCGAGGAACATAAAGGCTATATTGGTTTCGCCGGAAAAGGCGGCCCAATGCAGGCCTACATTCTCCTCGTCGTCTTCGATGTTAGGATCGGCCCCTTTGCTCACCAATAACTTCACGATATTATAGTACTTGTGTTCAGTCGCCCACACTATGAGCACAAATGGGTGCGAAATAATGTATCAAAAGTACAAATGCTTGCAAATGTTTGGACGAACCCAATGCAGACCACCCGCCCTCGTCCTGGAGGTTGACGTTAATCTTGCCGGAGTCGAGAATATAGTGGACGGCCTCTATATTCCCACATTTGGCGCCGATATGTAATGAAGTCATGCCGTCCTCTCCTCTGATGTCGAGAGAAGCGCCGGAATTAATCAAATACTTGACCACAAGATTGTGTTTATGTTCGATGGCCTGCATCAGAGGTGTTGTCATGTTTTTATTGAGAACATTAGGGTTGGCGCCCGACTGTATCAATAGATGCACTACTAATATATGGCCGCAATTGGCCGCCGCGTGAAGTGGGGTCTCGTTGTCGTTGTCTTCAAACGGGAAGTTAGGGTCAAAGCCTTGTGCTATAGAATAGACATCATTTCAATTAGGCATTTCAATTTCATTTCAATTTTCATTTGGTCTCAAATATAGTACACATTAGTGTAAGTGATATATAAAATATTAACTGCAAATTATAACTGTAATTTTTAAATAAAACAATTATTTTAGTACCGTATTTGTTATGTTTAAAATATTGGTTAACACATAGAAATGTATATGATTAGTTTCTATTACCGTAATTAAGTTTGTGAATATTTTTAAAGCTATAATTCTCTACTAAAAATCAATATAGAAATGTCTAGAAATTTCACATTTACAGGTCACTTTAATTATTATATTTGTGTTTGTAAAGAGCTTTATCCACTAGTAATCTATAAGAAATAAATAAAATTTGTTGTGCATATTAAAAAAAACCTTTTGAGGTATGAGTTATAGTATGATTGATATGGTTTGAGTGAAGTGTTGATAATACCTAAAATGCTCAACACTTTGTCCACTTCACCACTTTTGGCGACGGCATAGAAGTTCTTATTGTGTTGTATAGTGAGTCGAATCGACTGCTTATCTGCC